GGTTTGGTTCCTTGAGTTGTTAGCTTATGTTGTTTAACGAATTTTTCATCGATAAAATTTCTAGATGCTCCACTGTCTAATAATATCTAAGCAGGTTTTCTATTAACTTTATCTTTAAATTTAAGGAGTCGTTCTTTATTATCCTCTAAATAGGTGAGTTCAGCATTGTGATTATCATATGTTTGTTCCTTGATGTTAGCAATTTTTGCTTTAAGTTGTGTAGCTCTGCAATCCTTTGCATAGTGTCCAGGTTTATCATAGCAGTAACAATCAATTTAGGTAGATTGTTTGGTTTGTTATAAGCTCTTCCTTTATTTATAAATTTAGCTTTATAACTTTCAGCAAGATCTAATTCTATAGGAGTAGTATGAGAAGTATAGGTATTATGTTTGTTGTTATTATAATAAGAGTAGTTATTACTTTTATAATTATCACAAGGTGGAAATCTTCTTGATGAAGAAGAAGAAGAAGAAGAAGAAGTTCCTTTCCCTGGTTTACCTTGTCTAAATATTGCAGTATCATAGTTAATAGCAAGTTTCCAAGCATTCTCAAAATTAGCAGGTGCTTGATAATTTACTTCCATTTTTGTTGAATGTTTAAGTCCCTCGATGAAATATGTTACCTTATCCAATTCAGCTATATCAGTAATTTGTCTAATCAAATTTCTAAATTGTGCTTCATATTTATGTATATTTCCAGTTTGTTTTAGTTGTTTAAGTTGTTTATGTAAATGTTGTTGATAATTTGGTAGTTCAAAGGCAGCACAAATTTGATTCATAAAATCATCTCATCTAGTAAAAGTTTGTTGATTTTGTTGTGTAGCTTGAACTTTATTGAGATACTAATGAAGTGTAGCCCCTTGTAGACCTGTTGCAGTATAATATATCCTTGTGGGACTATCATTAATTTCTTATGCCCTAAAAATATTTCGGGTTTGTAATAGCCAAGAAAGTATATTTTCAAAAGGATCCCCTTTGTACGAAGGAATTTTTATAGCAATTTTAGGAGTTGCGGGGTTAGCTTGTGCTTGACCTTGTCCTTGTTGAGCCTAAGCCTGTTGCATAGCAGCATTAATAGAGTTAGTCACTGCAGTATTAAATCTAGCCAAGAATTAAGCAAATTGTCTAGCATCCATTTTCCACTTAAAAGTTTCAGATGTGTTTCAAAAATTTGTAAATGTATTTCAAGTTTAAAAACTCATGTAACTTTGTGTAACTTCAAGTATAGACTTAGTTATGTGATGTTTTATGTAATTTAGCAAGAAGGTATGTATTATAGTATAAAAAACTGTAAGCTGCTACCAAATGTAAGAGTTTAAATATATCGTAACAGTTTAAACAATGAGTTTTAGTTATAAACACAGTTTATAATATTAGCGA